TTTCTCTAAATGATTTTAATAATCACTTTTCTTCTATCTCCACTATGGACTCTTTCACAAAATCTAACACTATCAATGAAATTACTTCCAAGGCCCAATCTCATTTTGATTTTTTTTCCTTTTCTCCAATGTCAACCGATGATATACGGAAAATCATCTTCTCAATCAAGTCAAAGGCCATAGGATGTGATGATGTGAGCAGAGACATGATTATCAACATTATAGATAATGTCCTTCGAGTTATAACACATATTGTCAATTTCTCTTTCCAAGTGGCTCACTTTCCTCTACTTTGGCGTAAAGCTTATGTCATCCCTCTTCCTAAAACCTCATCTCCAAATTTGTTGAATAACTTTAGGCCTATATCTATCCTTCCTTTTCTGTCTAAGATTTTAGAAGCCGCTGCTCATGAGCAATTATCTTTCTTTATACATTCTAATTCCATCCTCTCTCCTTTCCAATCTGGTTTTCGTGTTGGGCACAGCACAACAACTGCGCTCTTGAAAGTTACCGAGGATATCAGAACTGGCATGGAGAAGCAACTGGTCACCATCATTGTTCTTATTGACTTCTCTAACGCGTTTAATATGGTCGACCATGACCTTCTGCTGGCCGTACTGAAGTCCCTTAACCTTTTGTCGTTGACATTGGATTGGTTCTCAGCTTTTCTTCGTGGGCGTCAGCAGGCAGTACGTAAGGGTCGTGAATTGTCTTCCTGGAACGATCTGACGGCTGGTGACCCACAGGGGGGGATTCTTTCTCCTCTGCTCTTTTCCTTATTCATTAATCACCTCTCTTTCACGCTTGGCTGTTCTTATCACTTCTATGCTGACGATTTGCAAATATATGTGCAAACTACGACCGATGAAATCATAACAGGTATTTCCAAATTGAATGAGGTTCTCTCTTATGTCAGTGCATGGTCAACTAATTTTGGGATTTCCGTGAACCCAACTAAATGTCAACCAATTATGGTGGGAAGCTCCAAACAGCTTATTAAACTGGATTCTAGTCTGCTCCCACCTGTTGTGTATGAAAACTCTGTAAAACCTTTAACTTCTACTGTTAAAAACCTTGGACTTCATATTGATTCGGAGCTCAGATGGACATCACAGGTTGCCGAGGTCAGTCGTGTGGTTACTTATTCTTTGCGCTCGCTTAATCGCTTCAGACATTTCCTTCCTACCAAAACTAAAGTCATTCCGTTATTCTTCCTATCATTTACTTTGCTGATGTCTGTTATCCTGATTTAAACGAAGATCTTCTTAATAAGTTGGACCGCCTTGTCAACAATGTAATTCGTTTTATTTTCTGCCTTCGCAAGTATGATCATGTTTCGTGTTATCGGTCTCAACTAAAATGGCTTCCTATTCGTCAGCGCAGACAGCTACGACTGCTCTGTATGCTCTTTTCCGTGCTTTCTAACCCTAATTCTCCAAATTACCTTAAATGTAAATTTCAATACCTTTGTGGATCTCATAACAGATAACTGCGTTCTGCTAATACACTTGCACTTTCTACTCCGCTTTTCCATTCTGGCTTTATGGCCGACTCTTTCACCCTTCATACCCTACGACTGTGGAATAGCCTCCCCGACACCATCAGACGATCTCCTAATAAATTCATTTTTAAACGGAAAGCTCACACTTTTCTCTTAGAGCATTTACGAAAATCATCATCATATGTATATGTATCATAATTCATATATGTATTTATGAATTTGTATATGTATTTATGTATATGTATAGTTATAATATTTATTTATGTTTATGTAATTGGATATAAATTCTTCTGTAGTGTAGTTTAAGTAGTATATTTATTAGTTAACTTTACGCCGCCATCGTGTATTTCTGTATCCCAAAGGTTGACTGGTAGAGAATGCTAATAGCATTAAGGAAAATTCAAAATTAGGTACTAAAAAGGTCTCCGCTCAGCAATATATCGCAGTGTTTAAGCTACGGCGCTGATTTTTAGCGGATACCTTAATTAAATAAATAAACAAACTAAAAAATTTAAATAAAATAAGATAAGGAGGAGCACGAATAGCATCACATACAATTACATGCAATTTACAAGACACATATATAAAGTAATTGTCCAGTTTATAAACTTACAAGATTTACATTAATATAATTCAAATCATCAAATAAGATTAAAAAAATGTGCGATGACAAATCAATAACTACAATGATATAATTAAATATTTATGATTAAAAAATTAACAAAAATAATTCGCAAATGCAGCATCAATATTAATATACACAGCTATTTTGATCTTTGAATATTCATTAGATAATCCGTAAATTTGGTCTTAACGTTAAAATACTTTAACATTTCTAATAGGGGGAGGGATATTGTTCCAACATTTTGTTGCAGAATAGCTAAAACTGCCACGGAAAGCAGCCGTGTTATATTTCGGACAAATCAAACGCAAAGCGGTTCTTATTGTGCGGTTAGAAAATTGAAGCCTATCATACAAATATGAAGGGTTCTGAGTCTTAATGATACCGAAAAGCAAGCTCGCAAAATGCAGTTTACGTCTTGACTTCATATTCATTATTCAGAAATGGTGTAACATGCGACCTGGCCGGTATTGAGAAACAAAATCTAGCACATGCATTCTCAACTCTTTGTATTAGCTTCTTTGTACGATTCACCAGTAGCTATCACCAGAAATTTAGTCTTAGATGGATTCAGAACTAGGCTATTTTTCTCTGACCATGCTACGATTCGTTCAAGATCATTATGGATATCAACAAGCGTTTTCCTTAGTTCTTTCGGGTGAAAACTTTTGTAAAATTGCAAATCGTCGGCGTATAGGTGGTATTTACTGTTTAAAATACAAGAAGGTAGGTCCGCGGTGTACAAAATAAAAAGAATAGGTCCCAAAATAGGTCCTTGTGGTACCCCATGCTTAACAGAGGCAGACGAAGATAAACTCTTTGTACCATTATCACCAATAACCTCAACTCTCTGAGAGCGACCAGTTAAATAGGTTGAAAACCACTTAAGTGTTTTTTCATCAAAGCCATAATATTCTAACTTTGCAAGGAGTAGATTTATATTTTGGGTATCGAAAGCGCGCGAATAATCAAGTAAAACTAAAACAGAAGCCCTCCCTCCATCTCGTAACCTAAGTATATCGTCGAGGACATCCAGAAGAGCAGTAGTCGTGCCTCTACCAGCTTTAAAGCCTGACTGCTTCTGAGGTAAAACATTATTATTATGTAAATATTCTGTCAACTGCTGTTATATTACCTTTTCTGTAATTTTAGATAAGTATGGTAGTATACTCTGTGGGGTTATTTACTTTAGGAAGCGGCTTCACGATGGCTTCCTTCCAAGCATCGGGGAAAATTCCCGTCCCAATAGATTGATTAACGATCGCTGTGATAAGTTTAAGAGTAAATGGTAACGTTAATAATACCATATCATAAGAAATACTATCCGATCCCCGAGCATTGGAAGTTATATTAGTAATAATTTTTCCTACCACCGTTTCATCGACTGGTTTTAAACTAAATGAAGCAGAACTAAATCGATTTTGCGAAAAATATGACACCATAGTAGAACTAACTACGTTTTTTTCCCGTGTCTCTGCGACGCGAATTGACCAAGATATAAATTTCCAAAAATTGGTCGGCTATCTTGGTTCGGTTATTTTGGAAATTTTGGAATCCCTGTATCTCGGTCAATATTGGGCCTGGAGGATCGGGGTTTCGCCTCAAATCCCTCCCAACATCCCCTCCATACATCCCGTAGGGTAAGATTTGAATTGGAGGGGTTGAACCCAACCCCCCCAATTTTGAGATCGCATCGGCGAGATCTCACCCTCCTGCCACCTCCACTCCAAGCCCCAACTTCGAGCGACGAGTAGAACCGGAGATATAGCCCTCCAAAGTCGGTGGGATAAACTTATCCCAAAACTTTGAGGGGCTGTAGCTCCTACGCCATTCGTCGTAGAGGAGCGAGGTTTACCAATTATACCACCCCCTGCCAGGCTCTATCAGACCCATAGGGCAAAATTGGCCCAGTTCGAACTCGAGGGACAATTGCAACTGACCCCGAAAATAGACGCGGCAGGATCCCCTTCACCTATTACCAAAAAGTCCCAGTTCCACGCCGTCGATAGTTTCGGAGTTATCGGCACTCGTCCCATTCGGGCCAATTTTTGGACCAATTTTGGGCGCGTAATATCTCCGGAACTATCCACCGTAGGAAGGTGAGAGAGGTGTCAAACGAAAGGGCATAAAAAGGACAAACAGGCGACATGAGACGTAGCGACTTTTACCCGGGAAAATTCGAGAAAATCCCGGAAAACTCGGAAAAAGCTAGAACTTCGCAAATGTTTGCGAAAAAATTTTGAAAAAATTAACCAATATAGTCAATAGTATAAACAAGGACGTGAGTATAAATTCGAAAGAAAAAATTTCCAAATTTGTAAAGAAAATTGACCTAAAATTTTTGACGGTTTTTCTCCAAAAAATAAAAAGAATTGACAAAAAAATCTGACTTTTATTGACCCCAAGATAAAAATATAGTCAAGCTATAAAACAAAACGTCCCGAAACTTGTTTGGGTATTTATTAATTTAAGTTAATTTAACTTTATTTACACAATAAGCTGACTGTGAAACCCTTTTGGGTCACGTCGTAGGTTAGGCAACAAATTTGACTTAGACGCATAGAGCCAGACTCTGCATTAGACAAATACACACACACACACACATACAAATAGCACAACATATACACACAAACATATACAAACAATAAAACAAATACTCACACACACGCCGAAAAGAGAACCCTGCAGTTGATCTGCCAAGCGGGAAAGCGGCACCTAAAACAAAAAACATACATTAGACATACACATACAAAAACACATATTACAAACACATACAAACTACATACAAAATATAATACTCACCGAGAGTTGATAAGTGATACAAAACTCCGTCTCCCCTTCAGATAATGCTGGAAAACCTGAAAACAAGAAGGAAAGATGAATAGAGCAACCAAAACATCAACAACAGGAGGCTCAAAAAGACTTAATACCTCCTCTCAAAGTCCAACAGGAATTTGCAAAAAAGGAATAAAAAATATGGAAACTCAAACAATTGATGAGCTGATCACTCAACTAACAGGTATTTTGCAAAGTCTACCAAAACAAGTGTATAGTGCAATGAAAAGAGAAGTGAAGTAATATCTGGAAAAAGCGGCGGAGACAGGCCTTAGTACTCTGAGTGAATTAGGTAGGAAGATTGAAAGAGAAATGGAGAAGACAAGAGAAAGAAAAGAAATGGAAGATATAAAAAGAGAAGAAGTAAGGAAGATGACGAAACCGTCACCATAAAACTCAAGAATGCTCGACTACAAACTTGAAAACATAAAAAATCGAGAAGAAGCACTGTTTGACAGACTGGCGGATAGATCTCTAAAGGACAGCGAAATGATGACCGCCACAATAGTAAGAAAGCTGGAATCAGTCGAAGAAAACATAACAACGGGAAAAATAGGAGAAAGGCTAGGAAAAAGAAAGGGTACGGGAGAAAAGGAAACAAGAACGGAAAATAATAGCGAACTAAAACAACAAATAAGAGAAACGGGAAAAGAAATAACATCCGAAATAACAAAAACTATAGACACAGTTCTAACAGAATGCATGCAAGACCTGCATAACGCCATTACCTACGGAGGAGCTGCACCAGAAAGTAACACAATAATTATAAACCGAATAGACACCCTTGAAATCAATATAAAAAGAGGAAATCAAATCCACAGAAGAAATAATATCAAGTAGAATAAACAAAGGTAAGGAACATGTAGCAAAACAAAAAGAAATAACAAACCTACAGGAGGTCGCAAAACAGCAAAATGCAGCGGTAACTAATAGGTATGCAGAAGTCACTAAAGGAAGAAATCATCAGATACCAAAAACATTACATTCGATCCTGGTTACATCTAACGATAAAATGGACACAGCGGAAGAAATAATAAATAAAACCAAGAAAATACTAAAACCGGAAGAAACGAATATACAAATAGAAAGGATAAGAAAAGTAAAGGACCAGAGAATTATAATAAGCTGTAAGAACGAACAGGAAACCAACATAATAAAAGAAAAAATTGAGGCAAGCGAGGACTTAAGTGCGGAAAAAGTCAAAAATAAAGACCCACTCGTCATAATAAAGGATATTAAATTTAAGATGACCGACAAAGACATAAGGAGCGCACTGAAAAATCAAAATCCGGACATTTACATAGGAGAAAAACAGGAGGAAGAAGAGATAAAAATCAAATATAGACGCAAGACTAGGGATACGGAAAGGTGCCACGTTATCGCACAAGTCAGACCGTCAATTTGGAAAAAATGGTAACGAGAGGGCACCTGTACATTGAGCTAGAGAGGGTGAAGGTAGAAGATCAAACTCCCCTCTTACAGTGTACAAGGTGCCTAAATTTCGGCCATGGGAAAAAATTTTGTCCGGACAGTGTGGACAGATGTAGTCACTGCGGGGGACTACACCTGCGGGCAGAGTGCCCAGACAAGAAAGCAGGAGTTCCTCCGCAGTACTGCAGCTGTGCACACGCAGAATTACAGAACACCGAACATAACGCCTTTAGCGCTAGTTGTAGTATACGGGAGAAATGGGACAGCCTCGCCCGCTCCACAACGGCTTATGAATGAGGCAAAAAATGGACAAACCAAAATACAACACAAAAACAAAAAGAACACACACAAATACACAAACAAAACAACAAACAAAACAACAAACAAAAAACACACATGCAAACAAAAACAACACAAACACAAAACAATGGTTCACTCGGAAATGATGAACATTCCTAATGAACTATTGAACAAAAACAACACATAGACCGAAACATCGTGAAGATGGAAAAATCTATGATAACACAAATAAACACAGAATATATAAATGTATACATGAAATAACTACAGGATACGACTGAACTAGAAATAAAATAAACAAGAAAAGAAATAGGAACACCATATATATTTAAGAATATATAAAAGTGACCAAAAATAAAAGAATAATATAAACCAATAGTAAAAATAGGAATAGGACATATAAACATAAATACAAACAAAAATAAAACAAAATGGAACATGACTTAATATAGAGTAAAAACACAAAATTAGAAAAAGAAATAGGAACACTACATATGTTGTAGAATATATTAAAGTGACCTTAAATAAAGAATAACAAAATAAATAAGAAATCTAGAAATAGGAAATAAATAAAATTAAATGGGACAAATTGAAAACTGGAAATGAGGAATAAAATAAATAAGAGGACAAAATAGATAAATAGAACCATAAGGGAAATGTATATATAATATATATAGAGTAAAATGTACTAGAATAGAATAGATAAGTAGAAATAATAAAAATGTAATAAGAAATCAAATAAAAAAAGAAAATGTAATTGGAACAGGTCATAAATAAGAAATAAATATGTATAATAGAATAAGAAATTTATAATAGAAAAAGATAAGATAATGTTTAAACATAGAACAACAATGTACTAGAATAAGTGAAATAAAAAGAATAGAATAAATAAGTAGAAATGGTGAAAAATGTAAAGTATAAATAAATAAAAGAAAATGTAACCAGGACAGGACATGAAAAGAAATAAAATGTAATATAGTGTAAGATGTAACCAAATGGAAATAAATAAAAAATTGCGTATGTTGTTAAACCCCAATAAATAAATAGAAATAAGAAAAATAAAGAAGAGTAAAATAGAATAGTATAGGACCGGCAATCCCAGCCGAAAGAATGAAAGAGGATGGAAAAAAGAAAGATAAAGTATGAGGAACCAATGAAGGTAAAAGCGAGAACTGGAATGGAAGAGTAAATTAGAGTACTCAGGGCCTGCTCAATAGTGGAGACAAGTAGGAAGTCCTGTCATAGACTGTAAGACAGGGCATTAAAATAAAAAAAAAACTACGTTATTTGAAGGTGATTTTAAGACATATTTGTTAATATTCTCAGGATCATTTATATGAACTGGTAGAGCAGTATTCCTGTCTTTAAAATTAACGACATTTCTCTTTATATTTTTCCACCATGTACGGGGATTTTTAGAATGTCTATTTATATAATGCTCCAAATAAGCGCGTTTTTCGGTAAACAAGGCACTCCTCACAATATCCTTCAGTTCTTTATAATACATTTTGTCACACTCCAAAGGTGTTTTACGGCTTTAAGCGTGTGCTTTATCTCACAGAGCTACCATCTCTTTAATTGTGGGTGTAATCCAAGGATAACTCTGTTTTTTTATATATGACGACTTTTCTGGAGCATGTTTGTCAATTAAATAAATCACTTGCTACATATGAGGTCAATCAAAGTTTCGGAGTGATCAGTGAAATGAGTTGGTTCCGTAACATATTGCTGCAGATTCATACAATGTATAAACTCTAACAGTTTCTTGGCATTAACATCCGATACCTTGAAGAGATCAAAATCGAAATCACCCAGCAACAGTACATTGTCGAAAGATGAAAGCGAAGCGATCGACTCTGCTAATGCATCTATAAAATCATCAATATTTAACCATATTTAACCAATTACAGCTGTATGTTTGTGCACTATATTATGTCCCACGCAGATGGGTAATCTATGTTAAAATTTGCCGAGATAGAAATATGATCGGGACTTCGGGAGTACGTTCAATGCTACGAAGCAGTTATAGAAAAGTGTATCCTTATATCCTTATTTCTCAATTTGCCATCAGATTTTAGTACACCTATAGCAAAAATCTTAAAATTATTAGAAATAAATTTAAGCAAGAAATTAACGGTAGTTTTAACAGCAGACATATGTTCCTTTTTTAAATTGTAATGGTAACATTTATGCATAGTGTGCCAAGAGTTCAAGACTCCGTAATCCGGGCGACTGCTCTAACCCAGGACCTAACAGACAGTTTGTGACCTAAGAGGACTGACGAATTTGTAAAGTACTTGTTACTCTATCGTTACCAAAGAGCGTATTTTCTTTAATGCTCAGGCAATCCACCCAAACAGCCGTAACAAATATAAACTTTCGATAAAGATGACTTTGTTCTTATTATAATATTCGATCAATTTAGCATTCACAATGCTATACTGAAAAATAAAAACAATTGTTTTCATTGAGATTATTTTATAATAGGGATTATGACAAATTTTTGTTTGTCTGTCCGTCAGGTAGATTGTTGAAAAATATTAAACGCGTATTTTTTATTGTTTTCGTAATCATTAAATTACGGCGACACATTGACTTCAAATATCACATGACGTAACATTTTCTACAAAACTGTGACGTAACGAGCCTCCATTCATTAAAACAGTTTGAAAACTATAAACAACTCGATCGCCAATTTTCTTAATTTTTTATTTGGATTTGTTTAATTTATTATAGCATGTAGTATTTACCTGTAATTTGTTTAATACATTTTCTTTTGTATTTTCAATTAGGTTTTCATCGAATGTGTTATGCAATGTATTAAATGTTGGTAAATCAATGGAATAAGAAAATATATTTTTATAGCCAACACGTTTGGCTACTCGTAAGCACAGTACTGTACCACAGTGCAAATATACATGTAAGTAGGTGCACTCGAGACCCGAGCGAAAAAAACATGTAATGCTGTCGCTTATAGGTTATTCAATCGTCAGAAATGCATGGTCAATCAATATCTAAAATATAGTTACCCTCGGTATGGTAAGCACCCGGTAATTATAATACAGCATCTATGTTTTTTATCATATAGACCAGGAGCTGACTACTATTTTTTTCATACCTACGTCATGTCATCAATTTAGTGTTTTGTAAAATTAAAACGTGGTTTTAATGAATTATGTATTTATTTAATATTTTGCAAATAATCAGGCTACGAACAAAAAATGCCGATCTTAATTTTTTAATAATCGTGTGCTTTGTACAAACATTTTCTTTCTAGCAATGGCCCATATTTTTTTTATATGATATTGTCTAATACGCAAATATACAATTCAATATCAATTTCAATTTGGCGGTATTCGGGCATAGAGATTTAATAAATTAAACTACAAATTGATATCTGGTAAACGAAATCTTGAGCAAAAATAATTCATAAACACTTTCGATGTGTAAATAGCTACACGAAATTATAATTACTTATGATATTATAATTATCCAAACACCTAAAGAACGAAATACCATATACTTGATTTATAAACATGTGAAGTACCATATACATACTCAATTTATAAATGCATATATAATATTTTGGTTTATTTTTCATCTTGTTTACGTCCAGAAATTTTATAACTAGCGGCAATACAGTGACGCGAAATATACGGATGTTGTATTTGTGACTTGACTTGAGGAACACTTTATTTTAAGATCCACCATTACAAGAGAGAGAGAGAGAGAGAGAGAGAGAGAGAGAGAGAGAGAGAGAGAGAGAGAGAGAGCGAGAGAGAGAGACATTCTTGTTATTTTTATACATCAAACCTCAAAATACACAAAGGCATCCTTTTATACAGCCATATACTACAACCGAAGCATGCATGAGTTGCCACTCGTGCCTTGAACTTCTATAACTTCGATAATTTGTGTGTGCGTGAGACAACGCATACGCACGGGCGCGCTCACATACAAACTATTTTCGGTGCGTATGCATGAATAGCACTTACTCTTTGTACTCTGACTGTACCTCTGGACTGTACGGTTAACAGAACTTACAGGCTATAACAATTACAGGCTATAGAAAACTGCCAAATTTCTCCACTTGATATTAAATCTTAATTCACTGTACCGTTTAAAAATTTGACATGTTGTGGTTGCCTGACGTGCAGACGTGTGTACTTATTTTAAGTTATATTAAATAGGTATTCTATTTATATTTATTTTTTTATATATTAATCATTAATTTAATTGAGAAAAATATTTTGATAATTTTCAATTTTATTTAGAGTATCTGTAAAATTAAATATAACTGCCGAACAAATTCATTTCAAAACTGCTAATATGACCACAGTTAATCGCAATGACTTCAAAATATATTCAAAATGTACGAAAATTCGGATTAAAATTTAAGGGAGGAAGAAAACACCATTCCACCTTGTTGAACTTTCGTTATTATAATTTTTATAGCCACAGGACATATAGAGCTATAGGTATAAGGAAAATGCAAAAATATATAATAACGACTGAATAAAATCGGTGATAAGAATAACATTTTCTAAACGAAATATTTTTAATTTCTTGAGACATTTTATGAAAATCATAGAAAAAGCAAAAATTAAAGAAGGAATGGCACATCCATATTTTTTCGTCCATTACCAACGTAGAGGAACCCAGCATCGGGGGTTCTTACTTTATGGAAAAAGGTCATTCCAGGCCAATACAAACTCCTCAGATAAGCTACGCTACCACTCTTCTCTAAGGATAAACTCCAGCAACCACTCGGAATATCCTGGTCAATAGAGTCGAGGAAATCCATGCTATAGTTGTAGTCTTGACGGGTTAAAAGATTAGTGTTCCAACGCTGCTGCGGCTGCCTTATGTGCAAGTAAGACTTCAAAAGTTTCGCTTCGGGGGCTGTCAGACCATAATAGTTCGGATTGATAACTACGCAGCCATCCGGCTGTTGAATCAGCTGCCCTCTAGCACAGATCTCGGCTTCGTCAGAGATGTTACTAATGGTAGCGGCTAAGCGGCTCTCTTCCTTCATTAGGCGACATTTGTCCGGATGGTTGTCTTCCAGGGCTTCGTCCAAAACTTTAATTTTCAGGGCTGGATCGCCACGAAAAGGGAAGGTGGTGATCAAAGAAAGGAGTTTGTATTTTCTCTTTGGTTTAGGGAGTAAACCCCAGAACTTGAAGTCTGTGGTGTAGAAGTATTTGCGGTCTGCGATAGCGTCGCCTGTGATGCCGCAGGCGATGTGATAGTCTGCATCGATGGCGTACAGTTGCCCCCAGTATTGGACGTGGGTGAAGTGATTCTCGATTTGCAGTAAAGTCAAAGAGTTCTGCAATAATGAGATCAGCTCGCTGGTCAGCATCATACCATTTATATTAACGTACTCTCTGTACTCCCAAAGTTTGTGTACATTCATTGTTTACTCTACTTTATATAAGTAAACACCAAACCCGTGACAATTAAAGTATCCGAATATATCTGTCAAATATAATCGTATTGTTTTTTTTTTGGTTTTTCATAATAATGCAAAGTAGCATAGACACATGATTTCTGTCCTTTTTGCTTTACAAAAGATCAATTTAAGGTTATCATGTTTATTACTATTAAATTAAGTTTCATAAATTATTGTACACTCGAAATACACACCTTCATCATATAAAAATCCGTTAAGTAGGATTCGAACTTGCTTTTTTTGCCACCACCGCTATAATTGATGATCAAATGAACTTACCTAGTGAAGTCTGCTTCATTCGTGCGATTTATTGTTCACATTTTGTGGTAGGGGGCGCTACTACAATATGTGAACTATAAATCGCAAAGAATGAAGCTGCGAAACAAAACAAATTTTAGGTTGGTTTTAGTTTATACATTGATATGACCTTAGAGAACTCATAATTTTGTGTCAAGTATTTTTTCTCGGACCGATCATAGTAAATACATTGTCGCAATAATAAAAACTGCCAAGGGACTAAGGCCGAGGGGATGCCGTAAAAAGATATACTAAGTTTCATGTGACAATTACCACCGTCAAATATTTGCTGGCTCTGTGTCGGTCCGTGTCGTTTTGTAACTTGACCGTAGATATAACTTATATAATCAGACCTCGCAATTTTGGAGTGCTATTCGATATCGAAGGTCTCTCTAAATCGGTTGACCTCTCTACTGCTTAGGGAGGTAATTTGGTTATTTTTGCAGATTACGGGTTATCGGGTTGCTTGTTTGCTGACTCGTGGGTGATATTTGGAAGAAAATATTACGGGGTTCGTTGCAAAAGAAATTGGTTTCATGTGACATACGCTTTTGTTGAGCTAGTACGATTCACCATCGAAAAAATTATGAAATCTACTTTGAGGTCATGGAGTTGCATCATATGTCATTAAAATATATTTTTGATGTTATATATCAGTAGATAGACGAGATACACGTAGGTAATATATTGAAAAATAGGCATTAAATTAAAAAGATTTGAAAGAGCTATTGCTTTTCATATTTAAAAAAAAGTAAATTAGAACCTTCACGGGTTATTTCTTTATAAAAAGAAACGTTTTTATTCATGTGAGTTATAATTAATTAGCTTTTCGTCAGTGGCTTCCCCACCGTGCTCATGTATAATACATATAAACCTTCCTCTTGTATCGCTCTGTATATTGATGAAAACCGCGTTAAAATCGTGTAGTTCAAAAGATCTCAGCGAACAAACAGCGGGAAGCGGGTTAGATTTTCAACTTCGTCTACTCCGCGATAGATGGCGCATTCACTTACGCTTATCGATGCTAGATGGCAATAGTAGTAGTTATTATAGATAATGAACGATATATTAAAATATATTTTTAGTTCTTTTTAGCATTTTATCTCCTAAGGGAATAAGTTTTTGTGTTTGCCACCACTGAGCCTACAGGGGTTCCTCTAGTCATAATTCTGGCCCTAGGATACGGCATCTTAGCGATATTATTGCGACATTTTGTTAAATTTTATTACTTTGACATTAATAACTACGAATTATTTATAAAGAATGATGATAATGGATTTATATGTCAAAGTAGTAAAATAAAACGAAATATGACTGAGATGTATTTAAATAAAAACAACTATTTTGAAACAGTCAGGTTGTTCATACTTCCTAAAGAGATTAACAACGTATCATAATTATATTGGAATTATATAAATAACGAAATATGGCACTTTTTACCAGTAGTTGACCTCAGTTGCACCACAAGTCGACCGTCTCTTATCCCGTAGTCGACCTCTTACCCACTTACATACTTTTGCATATTGGACATATAAATTCTTTAATATATACAATTTCATAGACATCAAATAATCAAGCAAATTTGGTACATTTCAAATAACCGCAACAAATATTCTTTAAATTCTGATTTCTTCTTTTGTCTTTTTCTTCTTTTTTCTCGACATAATGAGCTTCCATGTTTAAAGATTTTTATGCTTAAATAAACGTGCTAATTGTAATCCTAATTAAACGGCGATTAGATTTAATTTTCTGCAAAACTTATGGTGTCTATCGGAGTCAAGTGCCCTTTAGTCGGTCATCAACATACAGTCACTTTTATAGACTGACTACTAACGGAAAATTGAACTTATTTCTATCTTAGAGTATTATTTAACCAAATGAAAATAATATGGACTTATTTACTGTGTGAATTTTAACGAAGTCAAAGAAAATCCTAATAAAACGATTAGTCGACCGCTTCAGCCTGAGCTCTGGATCAACCCTAAAAATCGAGTCCCGTAGCCGGCCACATTGAATCACAATCTAATAAATAGGTAAATAAAATGCTTGTAACACTTAATTAAATTACAAAACAAATATTTTGTAATAATATAACATAAAATAACACCAGAATTCACAACAAACTCACCTTATGAACACGTATCTTTATGAAAAAAATTAGAATGGTGACGTTTTCAATCATGTCACTGGCGGATGTGAAAATGAACGAATCAAACGGTCCTTTTGGCTTGAAGCTGTGTGTATTAAGTAACAAGGGAACATCGATTCAATCAGACGTCATTTCAATAGTATAAACCGTCGTGGGTCATAGTATAAACCATCCCAGAGTACCAGGAACAAATTGTATTTTTTAAGCATTTTCATATTAGACTACTGGTGTGGGGTCGACATCTGGGTATTTTACCCTAAACGCATTTGCGTTATGGTCATTCATTATTTTTGGCTTAAATACTTTCATATACTTTAGTATGTTCAATGCTATTGAAGCCAATAGTAATTACTGAAAACCGATATGGCGTGTTTCTCTGTTAGATCGCTTGGCTTCGATACCGTAATAGTAATTTATGGATCTCCATAATATTTCTATAATATTTAATAATATCTGTTTTTTATTAAACGTGTACCTTCTAATTGGACATTTGGACTTTGGCAACATTTTAAAGTGTAAAGAGAAAAGGCATTATTGGCGCGAAATCTTTAGCATTGTTCTTTAATCACATCGACTTGGCGACCTTAATTAATTGTTCACAATTGAAGTGAAAAATAGAACGTAAGAAGTGTAGAAATAGAGAAAAACACGCGGCGCTAAATACCCGATGTAACTCGGTCTCTGTTTACTCCTTTGCTAAAGTTCGGGAGTAAAACTACCTCGTAATAATGGGTCATTTTAGCGTCTTGTATAACAATTTACTAATATTCATATAATACTATATGTTTGAATATCTTTACCTTTAATTGATAACATGACTTCAAATTTAGAGTTAAATAAAAATTGTAAGCAGTTGAATGTTTAGTGATTAGTGCGCATATGTTTATTCCACTTACACTAAAATAATTAAAAATAGATCGTAATTTGGCAGTTTCTCATTTTAAATGAAACTATATTAATTAACGATCAAGGGAATCTCTCAGAGAAATATCTAAAGAAATTAATATTCTGACTGTTACCTCTCAATACATCTATGAGAATATTATGTACACAAGAAAACATTACGATTCCTTCACAAAAAAAGTAGTGTTCCTAATCTTAACACAAGAAATAAAAATAAAATTGCCGTTCCAAGCTTCAGACTTCAAAAAACCAGAGGATCATTTCTGGGTAAATGTATTGCTATGTTCAATAAAGTTCCACAAAATGTAATCGACCTACCCATATATAAATTTCAAATTCATGTAAAGAACATTATGAGTAAAGGCTATTATAAAGTTGATGATTATTTAAAGGACCGGAATGCATGAAATTACGATTAATTATATCTATAACGATTAATTATAGGCATGTACCAACCTATGTCCTACAGACTTTAAAACTTGTATTTATTATTGTTCAATATATGTATTATTTTGGTAATGGCATGATTTATGTAAATGTCATTACTTATGATAAAAAGCTGGTAAGTTTCTTTCGCTTGTTCTTCTTGTCAGCTAAAAGACGTCCTGAACAAGTGGTAGGGAAAAAAATATTTTTGGACGATTCAAAAGTGCTTGTAACAAGCTTACTTGAATAAAAACATTTTCATTTCATTGCATTTCATTTCAAATGAAATTTCGTTTAAATGTAGATAATGTAGATAAATTGGAAAAGTCAAAAAGTTACGGCTGAAGAAAACAAAATTGCTGTGGGATTCTCAAATAAGTCTATATTTTTTTAATAAAGTATATAAATTTAAAAGAGTTTTGAAGGAAATGCTGTATGCCGCCTTTTGGTTTAGTCTTCTATGGTGTTGATGGCGCCATTGATACTGCAGTCGAGTCTCCTGGTAGCGAACCTGGTAGTACCAACGCATAGAGCTCAACTTTCGGGGCCTCTTTCGCTCCAATTCGTTCATAACAAGCAACTTTCAAGATTCTCACCACTTTTTGTTGTAACGTCCCCGAAGAGTGGATATATACTTTTAGCTTTAGCTTTTTTCTTTTAAATGTAATCTTTACAAGATTACATTTAAAATAATAAGCGTATAACTATTAAGGCATAAATGCTATCTTTACATTTGAAGTTGTCCATGTCCAAACTATTTAGATAATAATTTGATATTGCCCTTGTAATGCAACATTTGCACTTGAGTCACCTGTTTCAGAGTTTGTAGAAACTATCCTTTTAAGGGTGTGAAATAGGAGATGAAAGTTTGTGCGGAAGAAAATCGTGTAATGTACGCGGGCTAAGCCTCTGGCGGAAAGTTAGTTTGACTGGTAACACCAAAATGCTGACATTCAAATTAACGACAAAAAGTATTTTCTATGATATAACAATAGAGAGACACGTGCGTGAATTAGCCTCTTCAGGGTTGTTTAGTGTATGGCACGTTGCGATTCGGCACGCGCCCTCTGTCGAGAGGGCGGGAGGAGAGAGGTGTGATTGTCTCCGATCCTCTGATACGTGGCATCCGGTTGTTTTAGCACGTGCCCTCTCGTGTGCTAAGTACTCGCGGTCGCGTATTGATTAAGTC